TTTTTTTTTGTTTTTACAAGATTAGAAATATGAAAAATTAAAGCTATCGAATATTGATGAAATTAAAAAAATTAAAATTAAAAATTTAACAAAAGAAAAATTGATTATGAATATTAATTAAATTAATTAATATTCAATTGAAACTTTGTTTTTATTACACCTTGAGATCCGTAGTTGCGTGATAACTTTGAAGTTGACGTTGATATTCCTCCAAGCGAAATTGTTTAACTCCTCGCTTTAATTGTTCAAGGAAAACAAATGTCAAACAAAAATGTGGCCCAATTCTCATAAAATGAGTGCCAAAACCTCGGTATAAAGATGTCCATCCTTCATTCTTGACTATTATTCCAATAGTAGAAAGGAAGGATTTATTTGGAGTGATAAATGATGTATTATATAAACGCGTTCGACTGTTAAAAAGATTAAATAAATGGTTTAATGTTTTATTATAAAAAAGAATTACTATTTAACATAATATTATGAATTAATACTTACACAACATCCAAAGGATTCATAAAAACTACACTGACAAACGCGCTCATCAAGCTACACACCATGTCAAGTGGAATGCCATCAGAATATCCTTCACGTTTAGCATAATCCTTTAACATAGTATAGGATGATAAATTTGCCGCACTTCCCAATATTCCCCGTCCAACTGATATCATTGATCCACGATAAAGTCCTTTTATACCACCTTCCTCAAACATAATACGTCGTAATGCGGATGACGTCGATGTATAACCATATTGACTTCCGACTGCGATAGCATCAGCTGCACTGCTTTGTAATCGAGTTTTTACTAATTCAAAGGGATTCGCTGATACCGCACCTAAGGCACCACATAGGCCACCCGCAAACATCCGTTTCCAAGCGGGTGCAGATGATGATGAGGTAGAATCATCTGTTGGATGAATTACTGCAAGGATTGGATCATAAAGTCCCTGTTAAAAGAAAAATATTAATTAATATTAATTATAGATCAATTATTATCATATTTTAATATTGGAATATGGTTTACCAAGCGAAAAACGTTCTTGGAACTTTCTTTTAATATAGAGGGAACAAGTCCTTTTTCAAGACCTCGTAAACCTTCGAATTTATAAGTTTTCTTTAAACAATCGAAACTGTTTTTGTAAACCTATAAAGAAAAAAAAATTTAGTAATTATATTAATATAATATAATATAATATAATATAATAGTGTTATATTAATATGATTTATTAAAACATACCTTTTCAGCAACAACTCGAATCGTTTTGCCGGTTGAATCCCTCATAAATCTGACTTCACCTTGAAGCTGCATTCTGACTTTAACGGTATCAAACGGTAAAGTAAAAACAACTGCCATGCTTGGTGCCAAAGCGCTTAAGGCAAAATTTTCTAGTTGAGAAATATTTGGATTTGGTGGAAGTGTCTTCAACGGTGGTGCCGACGAGAGTGATAATTGTGATTGAGATTTAGAACTTTGTGGCTTTCCTGATAACATTCTCGACATGGTTTTTCTTCAAAGTTTAAAAACATATTCATTTTAGAAAAATAATAATACTTTAACAAAATTTCGATTTCTAGATATTCGTGCATGAATTCATCACAAAGTTATAAAAAAATCATTAATCTAGATGATTAACCCAGGCTAATCTATCTAAAAAAGCATTGAAAAACGGGAGCTTCGTTAAACATTACAATGTGTAAAATATTAATATACAATGCACAACATGTTATTTAACTAAGTAGTTAAATATCTAGTTGCATATTGTAATTCTTAAATTAAACAACGAGTTTATTATTGATTTTAAAACTTCCCGATGTTTGCCGATTACAATGATTTGAAAAGCACAATGACAACATAATGATAGAATAATGTACCGTACGTATACTATAATTACTTTGTGGTAAATTCTCGAATTTGAAAGTATTATGCTAAAAAAAATTTTTTATCTGTTACGTAATATGCATACGGATACGATTTCTTTAATCAAATTGTTGAATAAAAACTATAATTTTGGATAATAAAATTTGAGACTTCAAATACGTAGTAATAAAATTAAACATACGATTTTTTTTGAAGCTTTGGACACATTTCGTCATACGATAAGATAATCTTCTAAAAGTACATACTTACGTATGTACGTATAGTGACGCAAATGATACGTAATAGTTTACATAAAAGATATATATTATAAATCTTAAGAAGGCTAGACAATATTTTATGTACATACGTGATACAAATTTATATCTCCGATTCGAAAATTTACAGGGGTAATCTGGGACCTTAGGACTGGTTCCCATCACAGATTCCTGAATTTTGATCTACATTTTACATTTAGAAAGTTGTCATATACAAGCCCATTTAAATCTATTGTCATTAATTTGGATTACTATGACTCATATGACTCACGACCACTCATGTAACACGGAAACTAGCTAGTAACAGGTTCACCGAGTGATATTCAATAGTATTCGAAACGACAACATCCAAGTTATGATACACAATACACAATATAATGTACGAAAAATCATCACTAGTTCACTTAATTTACTTATAACACGTGATTACAAATTTATACTCTCTGAAACTTGTACGGCATTTAGCTCATCGCCGGGCAAACACGGAGAAAGGCACATGCATAGAATCAATGTAAATCGTACCAAACGAAAGAGGAAAGAACTTTGATAAATGTTCCGACGGAAAAAATCCAATATTTCCTCTTCTGAATCTAATTTGTACTTAAGTAAAATATTAATCACGAGACCTAATAAATAAGCACATTACTGCATTATTTATTGTCACAGCCCGTCGTACGTCAAAATAGTTTGATCAAAATTTTTTTTGCATTGCTGATCGATTTTAAAATAGAATTTATATTATTATATTTTCTTATAAAAAAGGATGGTTTCTCTGGATCTTTCCCCGACAATTTTTTTTTCTTTTCCAATACAT